AGAGAGAGAGAGAGAGAGAGAGAGAGAGAGAGAGAGAGAGAGAGAGAGAGAGAGAGAGAGAGAGAGAGAGACCATGTCGCCGTTGAGGTGTGCAGATGGTAGAGGTGACTACCGACTGTGTATGGAATTCGCCTCTTCCCTCAATGGACGTAGATCCGCTTCAGCGGAGTCGATGCACGTACAACACTGACTTACTTACAGAACCGGCTGTGTATGGAATTGGTTAATGTCAATGGACGCGAAGTTGAATACCCTTATGTTTTCCATTCCACTCTTCTTCTCACGCCATCTTCCCAACTTTTAGCTCCTTCCGAGTCCACTGTGTTCCCCACTTTTGTCAACCCGCCACGTGTGGCGAAGGTCATGTTCATCGAATATTGCGAGGCATGATAAAAAGTTTTGTGATGTATATTGTGTTTGGTGGGTGGCACATGTTCATTGAATATTGCGAGGCATGGTAAAAAGTTTTGTCATGTATACTGTGTTCGAAGGGTGAGATTGCTAAAGCGCCGTATGTTTCATAATAAAGGCGAAAAACAAGCGATGTATCCTCTTCGCTTTTGCTATGCTTTGTCCACTGTTTTTTTTTTTTTTTTTTTTTTTTTTTTTCGTTGTCAGTTGTCCTCTGTCTCTTCCCGAAAATGGGCGACCACCTTCGGAGCGTGGGTTGTACGCTTGCCACATGGCCGTCATTGGTGGTTCGCCACGAACATTTAGTGCGTCCGCTTTGTGCTATCGACTGGAAAAAAAACATACAAATGGAGAAATGAATTGAATAGGATCTTGCGAAAAAATAAGTCATTTCCACGCAAACACTGGCACGGACGATGAATGCTACACTTTGTACATTTTTGCTATGCTTTGTCCACTGCTTTCTTATTTTCGTTTCGTTTCTCCACTGGCCGTCGCCGTAAAAGGGCCACGTGGCCGTCATTGGTGGTCCGTCTGTGCTATCGACAAAAAAAGACATACAAAGAAAAGAAGTGAATTGGATATAGGGGGAAAAAAACCGTTTTCACGCATGATGGAAAGATGGAAGAAGAGTCGTTTTCACGCATGATGGAGAGAGAGAGCTTTCACGCATGCTTTGGACCTTGCGAAAAAAAAAGCCGTTTTCACCCATGATGGAGAAATGTACAAAAAACCGTTTTCACGCATGATGGACAAAATCCGTTTAGATACATTGATTTGGATCTTGTTAAAAAAAAAAACGTTTTCACGCCTTATGGAAAAAAAACCGTTTGCACGCATGATTTGGATCTTGTGAACATAAAACCTTGCGAGGGTTTGGAAAGATGGTTACATCGTTCCCAATCCCGACATCATGGACACACCAAGTTCACGTTAAAGAACTGCATCGACGGATTCGCACGAAAATTCACGATCGAAATGGAGAGAGAGAGAGAGAGAGAGAGAGAGAGAGAGAGAGAGAGAGAGAGAGAGAGAGAGAGAGAGAGAGAGAGA